GGCACTGTTTTGAGTGCATTACATGGTTGCCATGGGCCACGTGCACGACATTCCCACGGGGCCCATGCAATTGTCATCCTGTATTACAGGTGTGGGAATGCAGTGCAAAGGGATTAAGCAGACTGCAGCCCAGAGGTGTGGAATGGCTGCCCAGGGTACAACAGCTAGGGCATAACAGAGCCGAAATTCAAACCGGAGCCATCTCCAGAGCCCACGCCTGAACCAGGCACTGGGCTCTGAAACCTTGCCACAGCCCATTTAGTTGACACAAAAGGTCCCACAAGTCTCAGACCCACTGTTCTCCCCTTCCAGGGGAGCAAGAACTCAGTGACAACACACAGAACTGGAGAGAAACAATATAACGATCAAAATGGCTAATATGCAGAAATAATACAAGACCCAGATGATCGGCAAAAGCAAATCCTAATGATCCTACAAATACATCAAACAATACGAGAAGAGCTGCCATCAAAAGCCACAGAGGGTGCAGGGTGATGCTGCTGAGTTCCTGATTAGAAAGTCCTATGGTTTAAGTGTTCAGGATTTCTAGCTCTTTTCCTGGGCATGTGCACAGTAGGAGTTTTGTAAGGTTGCTAAGCAACGCCTGGCAACCAGACTCCAGAGTGAATCTCTCATTAGGAATCCTTGGTAACTCTAGTAAGGAAATAATTCTAGTTTACGAAAGCCAAATTTTAGAAACCCTTATTAACTCATGTAATAAGGTACTAGTAAGTTGCCCTAAGTCATACATAAAAATACAAATCTGTAATTGCCCATCTTTCACTTGTAAGAACGAAAGAAAGACTTGCATTTTTGAAAGTCATCATTCAGTCAACATATATTTGTTGAAAAGCTATTATGTACCAGGCACTGTTCTAGATACTGGGGAAGAGGTCCATGCATGAAAAATCATTCAGACTACACTAGAATTCGACTTTCAGGCAAACATGGCCCAGAGAGGTAAAGCAATCTGTCCGGAGTTGCACAGCACACTGGAGGTGTGTGCGCTCAGCTGCTCATGTCCAGCCCAGCAGGCTTGCCAGGAGAGCACTTGTGCTTCCCAAAAGGCCACATCGTCATGACCCACTCAGACAGGCCCCATGATTTGCCAGCTTGCCCCTGGCTCTCTTAGCTGGCCCCGAGGGCAGGGAGTGCCAGCAGGCAGGGCTTGGCTGCTGAGCATCTTGGAAAGTCTCCCACTTGACCTCGGGACCTCTGTGGTCAAGTGAGGGAAAGCCTATGATACGGTGTGGGTTTTTATTGGACCCAACCACCAGCGAAGTTTGCCGTCATCTGGAGTGATGGAGAAAATTAAGTTACCACATTCTCACGTTTCAGCCTTTCGCCCGTTTTCCTTCGCAAACAGGAAATGTTTATTTAAATACAGCAGTCTCCAGCATGTTCCGGAGCCAAGTGAAAAACCAAAGATGTCCACTCTTGCCCCGCTCCGCTGTTCAGGCCACCGCCTCGCTGAGGGTGAGAAGTGGGCCTCTGCCTGCCTGTAGGCTGGCCGGGGAGAAGGGGCCCCACAGGAGAGTTCATTTTCATCTGTCTCCTCTTTTCCAGGCCGAGATTGTGGTTGGAGAAGAATTACATCTGTGGGCTCCTTTTGTACTCAGAAGGGTAAATGCTACATCTGTTTACTCTGTGCTCCATGGTAAATGTTTTGTTTCAGCCACCACCATTCACTTCCTCTCCTCCAGACCTCTATCTTTGCTGCACGGATAATAAATTACACTGAATTCTCCTCTGCGTTTATTTAGCTTTCTTGTGGGTGTCACCTCCTCATTGAAGGGAAAAGGATTGTCAGTAGTTTATAAACGACAGAGAGTTTCTCTTTCTGTGAGATGCGCTGACATTATGGAGAAGGAGCTGGAACACAGACCCCCAACTCCAATAGCAGCCCAATTACGAACAATTCACCAGGCCCTATTCCAGGCTGAAAGCAAAGTCCAAATGGTGACCACATTATCCCCACGCAGGTTTTCTTTTATGGCACACCATCGGGGGATGAGGCCTCGGGGTCAGAAACATCCCAAGGAACACCAACACCCTCACACACACACCCACACACACACACACAGAACAGCCTCTTTAGGAGGCAGAGCCGCAAAAAAAAAAAGAAAGGAGAAAAAATGCTTCTTCTTTGTTATAAAACAACGTAAACATTTGAGATCAGAAAAGTGGACTTTGGGAAGGTCCCGAGCATCTGACTGCAGTGCTGACAAAACGTACGCCCCATGGGAGGCTGAGCCCTGAGAAGTTTAAAGGCCTCCCTAAAGGAAGTTTCCTTCTCCCCATCCTTTGCTTACATTCTTTAAGTTGAATTTCTGGCTTTCTTCTGTATATGCAATGATTTTATATACAGTTACTGGAATGCAGTAAAGGCTCAAGGGATGTTTGTTGAATGAATGAAGGAAAGAAAGGAGAAATCCCTCCCTAAAGAAATCCTTTGCAGAGGAATGCCCAATGTCCCCCCCAACCCCCCCGAAGTCTGCAGACTTGAAATGCTACATCTGAGTTGACTGAGTTGGTGAGGGGCTGAAGGATCGTTGGTGGCTGCCCCCAACCCCTGCAGCCCTCCTGGCCTAGCCTGCTCCCAAAGGCTGCCCCCTCTCCTGGGTAAGAAAGAGACTAGAATGAGGGCCAGCCTTGGCAGCCGTATCCCCCCACCCACCCACCGCCCCCCTGCACCCCAGCCAAAGAGGCACCAGTGACCAGAACCAAGGCAGTTGAGACACAGGTATTCCAAAGCACCTCCTACTCTGCCAACGCAGGCCAGTGACCATGACTACAGCAGGGGGCCCACGGGAGCTGCCAGGACGCCAGTCTCTACCCGGATTCTCCAGCTATAGAGCAAATGGGCAGCCCAGAGCTGCCTGGGTCTCCTGGGGGAGGTGGCTGGGTGGTCTCCTCACTACAGTGATGTGCCTGCAGCTTTTGAAGACTTCCTATGTGCCAGGGGGAGAGAGGTCTACTCTCCTTGGTGTCCCAAACATGCAACATGATTTTGAAGATGGGGCGGAAGCAATCTCAAGACCCCAAAAGGAGAGCTAATGTCTAAGTAAGCTGAATGGTGCAAGGTAGAGCCCAAGCAGCAGCAACAGCTGCCTAGACCAAGACCCAGACCCAGCCAGAACCCTTCCAAAACCTTCTTCTGTTTCTGGATCTTGGCCCAAACTAGCCCTTGCTCCAAGCATCTCTAGCAGAGTGGTAGGGGGTGTGGGCTTAGGAACCAGACGTGCTCAAATTTAAACCCTTAACTAGCTACATGACCTTGAGCAAGTGACAACTGTAAAGTGAAATAATAAGCATTACCTATGTAACTAATAAGAGTATTGCAGAGATTCAAAGAGATAGCGCATGTAAACAAATTGAGCAGGAAAAGCATTCATTAAACATTAGCCACAGTTATTATTTCACTAACTCATGTGGCTGGCCCTGATGTGAGGAGGGCGGGGAATTTAGTTTATAAGTTATAGGTATCCAAAAGTACCACTAAAACCCCGTTTTCGCTGGTATGGTAGAACATACTGTCTGAATTAAGTTGTGGGAGCCTGGATTCTGGTCCTTCTATTGCCATCAACTTGGGGTATGACCTTGGGCAAGTCATTTCACACGTCTAGCCTTGTTTTCTACGTGTTAATGAAGGTTCAGCTCCAACCCTCTAGAATCGCATTGTTCAACCTCACACAATAATCACTGCAGTTGGGGGGGAAAATGTGTTTGAGTGAAAGGAACGCACCAGGAGAAAGGCAGTTCTACAGAGTCACCTCCACCCAGGGCCATGTAAAGAAGAAAAGGAAGGGAAGAAATGGGGTGACAGGAGGTGATTAACAGGGATAACACACTCTAGGAGAATTCGTTGCACTCTCATCACCACCCTCTTCCAGCTCAAAGTCAAGAAGGCAGAATGGAAGACTCATGCACCTACCCCTAAGACACGTGGAGAGAGGGATGGGAGGAGAACAGGAACTGGAGAAGTCTACCACAGGCCAGCAAACCGTCACCCACTTCTGGGCTATGCTCCCAGGCCAGTTCCAACCGGCTCCACCATTTCTTGCTCCTTCCCCAACTCCCCAACTGCGGGCTAGGAAGAACCCACCCCAAATCCAAGTTTTGAATTTGGTCGGAGGATCAAAATGATAAATGTTTCCAAAACGTTGACATATGAAAAGTAAATATTTGGTTGCACAATTGAGGTTAAAACGAGGGTCAATCCACCCCACTCTCCAAGTGCCTCTCCTCTGGCTGCCAAGCCCAGGATCCTAGGCTGAGTGCGGTTTGTAAGATTATAGCGCTCGGTCTCATTTAAAGGGCTGTCAGCATTTCCATTCTCCAGCCCTTTTGGGGAGGCATTTATAACCAGGCAATAAAAAATTCACCCGGGCTGCAACTTGGCATCTCCAAGGCTGCGCTCCAGGCAGGGCAGGTTTTGCGAGCACCCACTCTGAATTCTTTCGGTTCCTCAGAAGTTAGACCTTCACACACACTCTCAACTTTCCTCGCAAGGGCAGCCAGAGAGCGGCTGGCCCGTCCGTTCTGCTCTCCACGCGGGTCACAGTCTCAGGCCCTCTCTCCGGTCTCCACGCCCTGAAGCCGCATCACCCTTCAGCTTTCCCCTTCGACCCCCTCCTTAAGGAGCGCAGACCCTACACCCTCGCCCTAACACCTCCCTGGCCGCAGTGTTCTCTCCTCCCCTCGTCTCCTGCCAGCATTCTGCTTGGAAGCTGTCAGCGGGCCCTGCATCTGGAGCCTTCAGCCCAGGAGAGGCACTACTCTACTCATCACACGGGGCTTCGTCCAGACCTCTAACCCCAGACCTGCTTAAAACCGCAAACCCCTAAGTCAGAGAGCGTGAGGGATCCCATCCAGGAGAGGGAGAGTCAGAGCAGGGAACGCATTCAAGGTGACCAAGGGAAAAGGCAGGATCCAGCGCCTGGGGCCCCTCTGTGGGACCCAGGTGGGTGGCCCGAATGGCGCTGGGCAGGGATACTCACAGGCGTTCGGCGTTGCGGGGGATGCCCCGGGGAACCGCCCGGAGGCCCAGCCCGTGGCAGTCCACGCTGGCGGCGGAGCAGGTACACTTGGTGGGGCAGGCGGCGGCGCGGGGCCCGCTCAGGACGCTCGCCAGCGCCAAGGCCAGCGCCAGGCGGGCGCACACAGCGGCGCCGGACCCTGTCCGCCCGGGGGCCATGGTGTGCAGGGGCCCGCGCCCGGAGGAGGCTGCCTCGGCGGGGCAAGACGCTTGAAGCCCGGAGCGGCTCGGGGGAGCGCGGGCGGCCTGGGGAGCGGGCGGTGGAGTGGGCGCGGAGGAGGAGCTCGGCGCTCAGGCGCACGGGGCGCGGGCGGAGCGGGGCGCGCCGGGCGGCGGCGGCAGCAGCAGCTCCATCGGCGGGGCTGGCGCTGCCCCGCTGCGCATCGTCCGGAGTGCCCAGGTACCGAGCGCCCCCTGTCCCCTCTGGCCCGCGGCCCGGAGCGAGGGCCGGGTCGGGGTCCTGGGGCTGGAGCAGTGGGGCACGGAGCCCGGGGAGGTCCGGCTTGGGGCTGGGCTCGGGAGTCCCGCGTCAGCGGCCGGGGCACAGGGCGGCAGGGCGAGCTGGCCGGCGCTCGCGCTCTCCATTCACTGAGCAGGGCAGACACTAGAGACGCGGGGCCCACCCCTCCCTCCCCCCCCCTGCAAAAAAAAAAACAACCCACGCCAGCTCCGCCTCCCATTGGCTGCTCTGAGCGTCATGTAGACTAAGTTGGGAACTTTGCTGGAGCAACCAAGAGCCCAGAGGGAGGAGAAAGCAGAGGAGGGCGAGGGAAGTAACGGGATAAGGGAGGGGGCTTGGCCAGTAGGGCCCCAGAGTTGACTTGTTCACTCTTAGGAACCAAGGACAGATCAGGCTGGTGGCACTTTTTCTTGATTCTGTCAGTAAGCTAGGCACTCCGCTCATATTTTTTCCTTCGGTCCCAACACCGTCCCACCCTCAAGGGGGCATCTGAGTGCCCCCATTTTATAGATTGAAAAAAAAAACCACCAAAACTCAAATTAGTGAAGTGGCTTGCCAGAGGTCACACAGCTGCTAGGGACGCCAAACCATGGCACTAATTCACCTGCGTTCTACATCACAGGCCATCAAAGCTGCGTCCCAACCTCATCTACAAAGATCCTCAAAGATTCTACCTCATCTTGGCAAAGACCCACAACTTATTCCTAAAGGGCCTATTGTATGGACACTGATGCACTCTTGTCACACGTGGCACAGAACTGGCACACTCTGCCTGGAGGCCTGCCCTGCTTTGCTCAGAGCCAATGCTGGCTGTGCAGCTAAAAGTAGTGATGGCGGGATGTGGACCCCTGGGTTCTCAATGTTTCCACTTCCCGAATGGGTGACTCTGGGCCAATCACGTCACCTCTGAGCAAGGGAGCCACAAGCCCTGTCTGGCGCCCCCTCACTGGGTTGTATGGGAGCATCAAAGAAGAGAAAGTGTTTTTGCAAAACAGTCATTCATATGCGAGGCATCACTTCTGCCCCCAGCGCCTTCCTTCGTCCAGTGCCTCCTCTAAATTAGCCAGGTCTGAGCTTTTCCAGATGCCTTTGGGGAGGGGCCCGGGTGTTAGAGGCTCCATAAATACTTGTAAGAATGATTTTGTTTGTTTGTTTGGAGGCAGAGAGCAGGAACTGGAGGAAGTATTGCCCAGACTTCCTTGATGTCTGCTCAAGCTGGGAAAGTCTGAATGAGCCCTGCACATATACACAGCTGCACACACACACACACACACACACACACACGCTGACGCACTCAGGCTTACACATCGATACTCAATCACATACTCACATGTGCACATGCATTCTCAAAAAACGCACATGCTGTCACATGGACCACAACGCCAACTATGCCACTGAGAATTCTTTTTCTTTCATTTAAATGCTATTCTGATTCCTTCTACCTCATTTTCCTTCAAGGGAACTTCCAACTACCTGACCACATCCTGTGAATATATAGTAGAGGTGCAGGTTTTACTTTATTGTGCTTAGCAGATTTTCAAAGTCTTAGCTCCAGGCACCCAATTGTACCTACATGTACATGCACACATGCACCCTTCAGCGTCCATCGTCCATAAACACATTAGGTGCAATTTACTGCTGTTATTCTTGGGAGCAGCTTCCCGCACAGATGCTGTTGTGATCGCCCTCTGGCGGCCATGGAGGTCTTTGGGCCTCTGGTCCTTAGGGTGACTTCAGCTTTTAAGAACTCTAAACATCCTTTCCTCTGAAGCTTTCCTCCAAACCTTGAACCAATTTAGTACCAGGTCCGAGGCAGATGAGGGAACCGGGTAAAGGCCCAAGGGCACACAAGCATCTCAGACTGTCTGGAGCAGAAAAGAGCAGGGTTTTCTTTGTTTTCCCAAATGCACACTAAAGCATGTTTTTTGGTGTTTTTTTTTTTGCAAACCCTTCAGGCTGGGCCTGGGTCTGTGCTCTGAGCGCAGTGGGGAAGGGGAGGGGAGGCGTTGTTTCCATTTAAGCTGCTGGGGGTTTCGTGAGCCTGACTAGATCTTTAAGTGACTTCATAGGCATTCAAACACGCTGTTCCCTGGGAGAACCACTTTAGAACAGAGTACAGGGGTCAGTCAGCCCCAAGCATGAGGCGAGTGGAAGAAACAGGAGGGATACAGGACACTGGCTGCACAGAATCAGGGAATGTTTGGGCTGGAACAACCATAGAAACCCCCTAACCCAGCATTTCTGCCAGTGCATTCTGACCACGGCTAGTTGCACATGTCTCTTCACGGGTTCATCATGGGAGAGGGGGAGTTTTCTTGGGTAGACATGCAATAAGAAATGCTGCTCGACTTCACCTCTCTCAGAGGTTTGCATCACAGATGAGTGAATTTAAGACCCTGCGAAGTCCTGCAGTAAAGAATCAGGCTTAAGACTCGTTTAACCCAGTTTTCCAGTACAGCTGACTCTTTCGCATGTAAACTTAAAATTTTTTGGAATTTTTGGAGAACCCTCAATATAATTCCACCCTGTATTTACTTGCATGGACACTGAATCTTAGAGATGGGAGGGCACTGGGACAAGGTCACCCAGCTCCTCAGTGAGCGTACCACAGCCAGGACACAGGGATCCCAGTGCCTAGAATGGGGCCCTATCCCTTCTCCCCCACTGATTCTGGGGCATCTGCAGGGTGTGTCAGCCTCCCCATAGAATTACCCCCCACCCTGGAGAAGTCTGGATAAATCCTGGGGAGGTCAGGCTGTTGGGGGGGACTTTTATGTCCAAGTGCCAGAAACGGCTTTTACACTGTGTGGTGTGATGTTTTCAGGGTTCCATATAAGTCTGTGGGGCCTACTTGTGGATTTTTCTCTATTTTTCCATAGGCATCCCAAAGCAAATTGCCCACCCTCCTCCCAAGTAAACGCCCCTCAAACTTTCTCCTCCACCTGTTTTCTGTCTCTCAGTGAAAGTCACCACCATTCACATGGCCATGTTAATCAGTTGAGGTTTTCTTGTTGAAGCAACAGAAAATAACTAACTGAAGTTTAAAACATGACTTTTTAAGAAGGCTTTTGGGTGTCATACAAAATTTATGGGAAAAAAGAAAAACAAAATAACTGAAGAAGGAGACTTCAAAAAAGATAAGAACCAAGGCAGGATCTAGGTGCCAAGGCCAAGATTTCCAAATTCCCTGGAGGACAAGACTGACTGGCCTGGCTTAGGTCACGTGATCACCCTCTTAGCCAGAGAAGACAAGAACCTACGGATGATGGTTCCATGGAAACTCTACTCAGTGGGACAGATAGAAGCAAACTCTCAACGGAAAACTGGGGAGCTCTTAGCTGAAAGAGTAAGGGGGTGATGAGGAGGCCAAACAGCACCGAAGCAATTGCCCTCTGTCTCACAGCACAGCCACTCAGTCCCTCAGTCCTGTTCATTCTCCCCCAGGACGACCTCTTGAATCTGTCCCTCTTAATTTTAGGGCCTCTTGCTATTGTTCAGATCCTGGTTCCATGCTTGGCCATCGCTCACATTGGCACCCACATCAGTTCTCTAACGTTGTTTGTTTGTTTGTTCTACCAATCCATTATTTACCTTGATGATCAGGTTTTGTTTTTTTTTTCATAAAATGCAAACCTGATGATGCAATCCTAAACTCTGAAGAAGATTTCTGCCTCCACCACCTCATCTCCCACCAAAGTTCCACACCCACTCAGCGTCTTCCCTGGAACCTCCTTGCCTGCGCTTTCCTATCTGGCTAGCCCAGACTCAGTGTCGCTGTCCATTCCTCCGGAAACCTCGCCGATCCAGACTATTAGATTCTCAAAGGCGGCATCTCTATATAATCCATTTATCCCAACATTTTATTATAAAAAATTTCAAGCACACAGAGATGTCTAATCCATTTCTGCATGCTTGATGCCTAGAGGTACAAATAAATCTTTGATGATTGATGAGTGAATAAATGAACAATTATGTGAATGAATAATTTTCCCAATAAGCTAGCTTATCTGACATTCTCTTGTTGTGGTTTTACTTATTTTGATCAGTGTTACTTGATCATTTGGGGAAGGAGGAGGAGGTTACGTTCTTCCAGAATTTCTGGGAGAGTTTTTTGAAAACTATACACATTCTGCCCCTCCCCGCCATTCTGATATGTTTGCTCCCACCCCACTGAAAGTTGCCATTTGTGCTGGTCATTCTCCAGTGGATTGCCTGGACCACTCTGCCCACTATCACCCTGTTCTGTTACCCAGGATGCTTACCTCTACGGTCTGTATCACCTGCACTCCCTTGGGTCTGGCCACATGGGTAACTACCTCAGAGAGCTGGAGGAGGGGCCAGAACTTCCTCCACAAGGACAACAGTTTGGCAGTGGTTACCTTCCCCTAGTAAAGGTCATAGTTCATGTCCTCCAGCCCTGCCCTCAGGCTACCGTTCCCACCACCTTATTTCTTTACCAGGTAGGAGTAGGAATAGCTTCCCACCATTGCTAAACCTTGGGCAGTCCCCATCCCTTGTTGATTCCTTAACCCTGTCTCACTTTTCTAAACCATCCCTTTACTAAATGTCTTCAATTGCTTCTTTGAGCTGTGTCATCTGTTTCCTAACAGTGACCCTGAAACTGACACACTACTTCATTGAGTCACGGAGGCAGATCTCCGAAAAGTAGTTGAACAGGGAAGGGATGGGGAGACAATAAAAACTCCAATTTGATATAAGACTATGATCCCTATTAAATCTTCCTGGGAGAGAGAACAATCACATATGTGAATTTTAAGTCATTTCTGGAGAGTAGGGTTAAGGGAAAGGTATACCATCAGTTGGACCTAGGAGATTATTTTTTTTTCAATGTAAATGCTTCTTTCTCTCTCCGTTTAGAATTAAAGCACGATAAAGGTTTACTGCCAGTTAATCTATTGAGCTTCCCCATGGGGCAGGATCTATTCTGACAAGATAAATGTTTGATGAATGAATATGTAATTTTAAAATAAATAACCTATCCTGGAGAAAAAGATAAAGCAACAGAACTTTCCAAAATCTAGATCCACCTACAGCGGACAAGTATTACTTGGTCTTTCACTCCCACCATGTAATTGTGGTTCAGAACATTCTTGTTCATATATGACCTTTGTGTCACAAAGACAGTGA